GTAAATATAAATAAGGATCGGAGACGGGTCTCGGGAGCGCGGACGAAGCCGGAGCGGCATAAACAGGATCGCGCGGGACTTTGATCGGTGTCTCGGAGCGGATCGAATCGGATCGAATGGAATCGGCCGTGGCTGAACGGTGGCGCGGACGAGGAGGAGGAGGAGGAGGAGGAGGACGAGGACGACGGTGCCGACGTCGGTTCGTCGGGGGCTCGGTCGTCGATGGATGGGCCGCATCGCGAGCATCTCTCCCTGCTTGGCCCCACTTTTCCTTTCTCTGCCTGTTGCCCCACCGGCCACTTGGCTATTCATCTTGGTCCGGTGCTCCTAATTACACGTCTCGGGTTACGGATGAGAACGACCGTCCCGCCGTTCGGAGACGTCCTGTGCCCTGAAAAGGGGTACCATTCTCCCTCTCTCTTCCCTTTCACCTCTCTCTCTCTCTCCTTCTTCGCCCAGGCCCCTTTCTCTCTCTCTCTCTGTCTACGTCTTTTTTACACCGGTTGCCACTAAAGGCCCTTTGTCCGTGGCCCGGCGTGCGCGGCTATTTTATACACCGAATGTTATTCAGCCGCGGAGTTACTTGCAACCTCTCTCGATCTCGCTCTCGATGTCTCTCTCTCTGTCTGTTCTTTTCCCCGTGGCCGCACCTCGCTTTATCCGCGTGCCGTTTCTCTTTCGTTCCAAAGTGTTCCTGAAACCGTGATGCCGCGTAGGCCGCGCAGCCGGTGAACACGCGCGACGAAGAAGGTACAGCGAGAGGGCCGGGAGGCTGGGAGGGTAACAGCGGCAGCGGCGGCAGGACCGAGGTACCAAGAAAAATTGTATTAGCCCTTTGATCCCTTGGCTGGTGGAACGACTCGGAAGAGAGCGAATAAAGGCAGAGGCCGCGCGTAATGCGGCTATTTACGCATAAAGGGTGAAAACGACGCGCTTTTCTCGCGGGGAACCGCGACACCGCGTGCCGGCAGGACAGCCGCTCGTATCCGCTGCCCTCTCTCCGCCTCCTCTCTCCTCTTTCCGCGTCCTCGCGACCGCAGCTCCGCCATCGTTCGATGGCCCTTGGTAAAAATTGCGAGCGATCGAAGAAGGCATCTCGCTGTAAAAGGTAATACCGCGCGGGACACCTCGCTCGAACCGCAAACATCTCGCAGAGTTCCGCTGCTCGTTGAATTTCTTCTCGTCGCGGCGAGTCGACGCACGACGACGACGACGACGACGACGACGACGACGGGATGCTGGAAAAATTTCGAGCGACAATCGACGGAAATACGGCTATAACGAGGAACGGAGCGGGTAAAAACAAGGCGCAAAGGGGTCGCGTAACATTCGGGGGATATCATCGCGGCGAATAGATAGCGTATCGCGGTTGATAGCGAAATTTCCGGCGGCGTGTATTTCCACAGGAAATGGCTCTTCTGCCGACGCTTCCTTTTTTCTTTTTTTTTTTTTCCGTCTGTTTTCCATCGGGTTGCCGGTTGACGAGCCGGTGGCGGAGCAGCAAGCCGCGACTGAAAGAACGTAAAACGCTTCGTCGCGGGCAAAAGCAGCGTTTGATGACCCGCGTGGAACGCAAGGGACGCGGATAATATATTTCGAGCAGGCGACGAACGGCCCGATAGGCCTCTTTGAAATTTGCTCGGGCGTCGTCATTATACGCGCGCCACTACTGAAATATGCCACGCTCCGGCCGCTCGATCGGCCTTTTCCTCTTCCACGAATTCCCTTTGATTCCACCGTACCGCCACCACGCGTGAATACCACCCTCCAACTGCGTATCTCTTCCCGCGGTTCGTTCCAGCCAGCCGATTTTTCAATTTTTTACCCGAGTACCTCCGTATCGCGTACCCCAAACCGCGATGCTTCTCTTTCTCCGCGGGAACCCCGCGAATCCGCGTCGCCTCGGCCACTCGACGCATCTGGCCAACGCTCCTCTTCTCGCGCTCCGAAGCGTCTTACTTTCCGCGCGTCGCGTCCGCGCCAGCACCCGCGCCGGCACTCGCGTCGCCGTTCCATTATGTATATCCCATTCCGCGAAATTTTCGCTTTATCTCGACGCGTCCAATAACGGGGCGGCGCGATACGGTCGGCCCGAGTCGCGAGACGCTGGCTATAAGAAATTTTTAAGGGAGAGAAAGTTTATTTTAACGACCCGCAATAAGAAATTTCAAGTGCAAGGGACGTATCCCGTCGCTTCCACGCGGTACCACTAATTCGTCGTTCGCTTTTGTGTCGGTCACCGCGAAGCGCGACAGAGTGGCGTTACTTTTTCACTGTCAAAAGGGCGTCGCTACTCTAGCCGTGGCTGATCCTCGCGCGTCTTCCCATCTCTCTGCCTCCCACACGCCTGCTCTCTCTCTCCTCTTTTTCTCCTCCTTTTCTTCTCGCCTTCTTTCCTTCCCTCTTTACCTTCTTTTCCTTTCCTCCTTTTCCCTTCCTTTTTCTTCTTCTCCTCTCTCTCTCTCTCTCTCTCTCTCTCTTTTTTTTTTAAATAAGACCCCGACTCGCTCGCGTCTTGTCTCGACACCCCGAGACGAAGAAAGGAGACTCTCAGCGCGCATTCAGAATCGTGAAAAACGCGCTCCGAGAGTGTGAATTTCACGCTGCTCGGAGCGTCTGGAAGGCGGCACTCCGGACACAATTTGCGGAGCGGCGCGAGGCCGAGGAGCGGCTCACGCCGTGGCCAGGACCCCGTGAAAATGCGCGGACCCGGCTGCCGCTGCTGCCTAGCCACCGTTCATTTTTCCTTTCACTCGCGAAACCCGCGCGTACGCGCCGCGACTTTTGTGCTCGCCGTCTGCGCGTAAATCACGCTCCGCGCGCGCAGATCGCTGACCGCGAGTCGCGCCACGCGATAAACCGCGCGCGTTCTCCGTACGCGCGATGAATTATGCATCCGCTCGGCTCGTGACGCGCTTACCCGCCCGTCGAGCTCTCCATCGGCCGCGCTCTTTCCCGATCGCACCGCCGCGA